ATTTCATGGTATAAATTCTATTTTTATTTGCATTTGATTTCATTATTGCTATATACCAAAACGTATTGTTGTGTTGTCTATAATATAAGCGTCTTTGCAGAGAGGTGTCAATAAAGTGAAAACCAAAATAGGAACAGAACGAAAAAAAAAAGAAACTAAATCAACGAAAGAAAAAGAAATCAACGAAACGAAAAGAAAAGAATTAAAATAAAATTGTTAAAAATGAGCTAAACGAAATAAAATGAATCAAAATATTTTTTATGATAACGAAATATATATACTAGTATTCGCTCCTTTCCGTTTGATTGTTAGACTAATAATGGGTTGTAAAAAGAAATTGTTATAAATAGCAGGTAGAAAGAATCATTTGAATGATGCTGATAAATTATTGTTCGGCGTCCAATGGCAAATAGTACACGCATATCGAGACGAAAACACGTTAAGGTGTTTCGAATATGAACCCTGTGCTGTTTTAGATAGACATGATAAGTCGGATTTTTAACGTGCTACTAACAAGGCAACAGTCCGCAAACAGACCTGTCACGCTACCAGGACACATTATTCCGACTCCGAGCAGACCATCTGTTGCTCTTACTTCTAAAATCCGCTAAATGACAGGGAAGCAGAAAATACTAACCATGTTCAAGCTATGGTTTGACTTTGACCTGGCCGGATAAATAACCCGCGACCTCCCGCAATCGAGGCGAGCACGCCACCAATTTTAATTTTCTGCTGTCTACCTTTTGCTTTTATTTTTCTTTCCTCTTCTTTGCCATTGTTCTCTTTTATTCGTCTCCCTGTCCCTACACATGTAGTCATGCCTCTTCTCTAGGTTTTCCTTCCTATTCATAAACTTGTTCTGGCCATACGTCATTTATTATACAACTCTTGGAGTTTTATTTTAAATCAGAAAATAAAGTAAAATTTATCTTAACTTATGCAGATATGGATGTAATATGAATCAGAACGGATAAGGACATCAACTGATCAACCCATTTGAAAAATTAAACGGAAAAAAGCGAATTATTCCGTTTTATTTCTTTTTGTTTCGTTGATTCCTATTTCGTATCGCTTTGTTTTTTCGTTGATTTTGTTTTGCGTCTTTTATATATAGACACCCTTGTCATAGAGAGATAATCAGTATTTTACGGTATTTATAAAACATGCTGTGAATGAAACCATGTCATACAAAATATATGGTTTACAATTACGATATATGGAACTTGACAGTAAAATACGAATAAGGGTACGCGTGATAATTATACCACAACGAGATCTCTCTCTTCATTGTCTCAAGTTTTTGTGCACGCAAGCGCGTTAATGGTAGCTACGCTTAAATTATATCTTTTGAAACCATTTCCTGAGGTATTGCTAATGTTTTTCCTAATGAAAATGTTTGGCAATGTGACAATATGCGATAAATTTCTTAATCTTTCATTGTCAGTAATTTGTTGCTACTACCCCTCATATGTATTCTCAGACTCCAATGCAAAAGAGAGGTGAAAGATACCAAAGGGATATTCAAACTCATAAGTCGAAAACAAACTGACAATGCCATGGCCAAAAACTAGAAACAACCAAAAGACAAACATCAGTATACAAATCACAACATAGAAAACAAGACTGAGCAACACGGACCCTACGAAAACACCGGGAGGTAATTTCTGGTGCTCTGGAAGGGTAAGCAGATCCTGTTCCACATGACACCCGTCGTGTTACTCCTATAAAATACTTTGATAAGTTATACCAAGTGATTAGGCATCACGCAATAGAGGATTGGTAATTAACTATAATCTAGCCCTACGACATCATCAAATTTATAAACTATCGGTCATGTAAATTTTCTAACCTTGAAACTTGACCGGATGTAAAATTTTGAAATTGAAACAAGTTTTTCATGATAAAGAATAGACAAGACTGTTACCGATAAAACCATCACAGACATTCAAAAAATAAAAGGCCAAGAGAACAACAATAAAAACTAAAGCAAGAGCAAATGTACCTCTTTTTAAACACTAATGATGATCTCAGGTGTCCCGAAAGAGTAAGAAGATCCGCAGTGGCGGCTCCAGAAATTTTCATAAAGGGGGGGCAATGACTGCATAAGAGGGGCCCAATCCGGTCATGCTTCAGTGATTTCCTATATAATCAACCAAATTTTTCCCATAAAAAGGGAGGCCGGGCACCCTGCCAATCATTTCTAGATTTTTGCTTTGATTGCTGATAAAATAGATTTTAGATAAAGAGGTTTCGTGGAGCATTTGGAGAAACCAGCAATATAACGTTGGGTGTAATGACACTAATGTAATTAAGGGACCCAATGCAGTGAAGGAATATCCAGTTCTTCATCTTTGAACAGATCTACGATTATTCCGGATTTCCTCCTTGGTAAATGTCGTGTGGGTATACATTGAGTTTTCCAGTGAATTGTCAATACCTAATTCTTTTATCAAGCTGTTTCTGTAATTTGATTTAAACACAAAAACAATGTTGTTTTGTGGGTTTTATCTGCACGGATTACAACATATTTGTCATGGAGGTAGGACAGGTGCTTTGCAACATTTGGGTCTTTAAATATCGATGTAGCATGTGTATTCATAGACTTCAGTAAGTTTTTTTTAAAACGACCTCACAGCCTTTACGCTTTCGGAAAGAGTATCTTCATATAACTTCTCGAGTTTAGTCAATTGCCTGAATCCATCAGTATTTTGAAGTTGTGTCTCCACTCCTGAATTGATGGATTTAGGCCAACGATATTTCGGGCCTTTGGATAACAAATTTCGCAGAGAAGTGTTATTGAAAATGTTCATGTCACCAGTATAAACGTCGCCAGCAGGATTATGTATGAATGGGGTTTTGGCACGTCAATATTGAGATTTTGCAACACGTGTTTGTGATTGGAAATTTTAGTTGCAATTGGTTTGGTATAGGTATACGACATGATAGGTACAAACTGATCTTTACAGAAAGGAGATTATTTCGAGAGAACTGATTTATGATTAAAGATATTTCCCAAGATGATGGCATCGAGACCTTTGTTGTCAAAGGAAAGTGTTATGAAGAATATTTTCTCCTTTTCATCTTTTCCAATGTGGACTTGTCTGAAAAGTCTGTGACTGGCAATATCCGAAAAGATAGCTGTGAGTTTGTATTGGTTTGACTGGATTTTTTTAACAGTGGTTTCCAATCACAAGCTGTACAGAGATTGAAGTTTTGAAAGGGGTAGTGAATAAAGCCTTGTTCGAATATGATGAATATCTAACGGCTTTAGTATCAATGGCAGAAGGTCATTAATAGAGACATCATGAAGAGTAGGTGGTGTATAATGTCGATGACCATGACTGCGTCTACGGAGAGGTGTTGCAAGATGAAGATGGTTGTCCTGTAGTAACTGGCATATAAAGGATTGAATGATCAGACTGATTAAAATGCTGGTAAACAATGGCATTTGCATTGTTGTTGATGTCGGATTTATGGTTTTATATTTAGAAATGAGACAGAATATTGCTATTGCCATTAGTATGGAAAAAAAAGAAGAAAAATACCGAACTCCAAGGAAAATTCAAAACAGAAAGTCCCTTATCAAATGGCAAAACCAAAAGCTCAAACACATCAAACTAATGGAAAACAACTGTCATATTCCTGACTTGATACAGGCATTTCCTTATGTAGAAAATGGTGGATTAAACCTGGTTTCATAGTTAGCTAAACCTCTCACTTGTATGACAGTCGCATAGAATTCCGTTATATTGACAACAATGTGTGAGCAAATCAAACAGACATTATAGGTAAAAATGTCAAAAATTGGGAATACAAACTAGGGCTCTAAAGAGCCTGTGTCGCTCACCTTGTTCTATGTGCATATTCAAAAAAGGACACTCTCCAACATTGTAGACGAGAATAGAATTCATGACAAAAATCTGTTTTGTTGATCTTGTATTGCTGATCTTTTAGTCTGTCTAGTTTCTCTCTATCTTCTTTAGTTTTTGCTCAAAAACACAAAAGAGGGTAAAATAAATCCTCATTTAAGGGCAATCACTCCTGTAAAGAGTGAGTCTACTAACTATATCGATAAAAATTTGACTTGTCAGTATATCTTGCCTTGATGATCATTTTTGTGATTTAAAGTGTCTATTTACCTATTATAATTTTTATCATATAAGACAAAACGCAAAAAAATGGTAAAAATCGTCATTAAAGAGCAATAACTCCAATAAGGAGTAGTCGGACAATTTCCTCCATATTGTCTTAGTCGTAGATCTTGTCTTGCTGATAATTTTTGCTTATTTAAGTTTCTATCTTTCTATTATATTTTACTAAGATATAAGGCAAAAACATGGTAAAAATCGTCATCAAAAGGCAATAACTCTAATAAGGAGTCGACTGACGATTTCGACAATGCAGACTTATTTGTAGAACTTGTCTTGTGATGCTAGTTTGTAATTTCATAAATTGTATGCTTCAGATGATTCGGAAAAAGTTAACAAGTTGAGACATCAATTTAGTGGTTGTAAAAGAGAGGTGAAAGATACCAAAGGGACATTCAAGCTCAAAAGTCAAAAACAAACTGACAACGCCATGGCAAAAAAGCGAAAAACCACCAAAAGACAAACAACAGTATACAAAACACAACATAGAAAACTAAAGACTGAGAAATACGAACCCCACCGTAAACCAGGGATGATCGAAGGTGCTTCAGAAAGGTAAGCAGATCCTGCTCCATATGTTAAAGATTTAGCATTGTCAACATGCAGCAAAGAATATCACAACTTGTGCTAGGATACATCTTTATCTTGCAGTGATGTATGAACTTTTGCTCTCTGTTACATGCATCAGAACGTCTATGAGATGAAGAACAGCCATAAAATAAATTTCCTGTGCTTTGGATTTTGTCAAGTACAATGTATATGTATATAGGGAATGTGTCATGAATTAATGCACTGTATCTCTTCTTTTTCAGTGTAAATGTAAGGTATTATTTTGGATTTCCTACATTAAGAGCCAGTCTGCCATAAAACCATGCAAAATCCCAAATTTCGTCCAAATTGGTAGTTACAACTTGCCAAAATTATATATATTTCCAAAAACTTTAGGTATTCAGGAGTTAAGATAAAAAAAATTTTTTTGTTAATTTGCGCTATTTTGCATTAAACCGCCTAATTTGCATATTAGTGAATTATTTTAAAAAATGGCTAAAAAATACACCTTATTTAGGCACTTTTTAAGGGTCTGGATAATTGATATAGCTCTTAAATGAAATATTATTTTTATCATATTTTAAAGGAACATTAGTTAATAACCAAAAAAATAGCTTTTTTGAGAATTTCTGACCTTTTGGCAGGTTGCCAGAAAGTTCGTGCAACAGATGTAATAAACAACTTGTATATACTACATGTACTCAATAGCAGTTTTCTCTTAAGATCATATTTTTTATTCTTAACTTTTATAATATTTTGAAAGGTGTATATCAGTTCTAAGACAGGTAAAAAAATTTAGCTTGGCAAATAATGGAAAAGTGATCAAAAATACTCTTAAAATAACCATAAAATGCAATAATTCTAATAGTTTTTGTTTCTAGTTATTTAACTAAAATTACTTAAAGTAGGTGGTAACTGGGCTAAAATTGATTTATTTTATGTTGAAAAATATTTCTGGCCAAATGTGTGGTTTTTTTCTTGTTAATTTGCAAAATTTAACATTAAGTTACCCAAAGGTAGCCTCAATGTTATTTTTGTGTTAAATTGTCTCCCTTAGTGGAAATCTTTCACTGGCAATATGGCAGCTTCCAGTGAAAAGCAGACGTCTCTGTTCGGTCCGATTTTTCTCATCTTGGAGGTTGTTGTGAACAATCAAATCACTATGCAACTCATCTGTTAGACAAGGTTTATCTTTGTACAAAGGACACAACCACCACCTTGAATTTATCCACAGCACTGAGGCCAGTGAGGGCAGTGAGGCCTGTTTATCAACCTTTCCACATGTTCCAGGAGGACTATTTTATAAATACACATAAGTGACATTGTTTTCTGTTGATCGTGCTGCTATAAAATTGTCAATATGTCCATGCCGATGGCACAGAGACTTTTTTGGTATATATTGGCGGGACTATTCAACAAAGTGTGGATTCAAAGATCGTCTTGCTGACATTGAGGCAAAACTCCAAAAGGTGAAAAGCTGATAGTGATGGAGGAACCGCACTAACCCTATCATAGGAATACTGACTTTTGTAATGACAACTAATTCCAAAAGTGTCAGGTAAACTACAAAAATAAATTAGTTAATTATGACAGGGGTGGATCTAGCCAATTTAAAAAAAAGGAGGGTGGTTCTTAGCAGAATAAAAAGGGAGGTCCATCGATATTTCCCTATTCAAAAGCATTTATCACCAAAAAAAGGGAAGGTTCTAACAAACTGGTCCCTAGTCCAAATATACATGACGTCTTGAAATGCTATTTTATTTTTTGTTTGATGTCTTACTGCGACACAGGCGCCATAAAATAAAATGGCCTTTCAAGACGTCATAATTATTTTGACCACCGGTCCCTCCCAGGATGGATCCACCACTGTATTATGAAAAGATTCATTTTTAAAACTGCCACATGACATATGCATGACATAGTGGCGAGGTATATAATTATGTGATACAATGAACATACACATGTATATACATGTACATGTATATGGAAAAAGGCATTTATTTCTAATACATGAAGATATGTGATATATGCAACACGCACAACCACCATCTAATTGCGAGCTATAAATTACCAGAAATGAGTCAATAACTATAAAAAAAAACAACCTGCACTACATGTACATGTATATATGGTCAAGATACAAAAAATTGTAAATTTATTATAAATTTCTATTGAAGCAAGGACATACCGGCGGTACTACATGTAAAAACCAACCTACAATATATTCCTTAGTTGGAAGGGCACACATAAATGTAGTGAGGTTAAACTTGTTTTGTTTTTGTCACTGAAATCTCAATTCCCCTTTTATTTGTCTGAAATGAAAGCTAGATTTTTATAGGGTGTGAGTTTCTCACTTGAAGGTGTATGACGTTTTACATGTAGTCTTGATATTCATTCTGCTTACTGACTTTAATAATGTCTCCATCATGTCCATGTATTAGGATGAGGCATGCCTTTTTGTAAATAAATTAGTTTTAACCTTCAATTTGATAAAACAGATTGTCTATTATAATTTATTCACTGGCATCATGCCGTAGAACAACAGGTTTATAAATTGATTGATTGTTCACACCTGAAACATTGTTCATCTCAGTGGACATTGACATGATCGTGTTTTATTGATGTTTTTAGTGTGTATGGTACCATTGACTGGCTGCATTATTCCATATTTTCACAAAGACATACATTGTAGGTCTCTGCAAGCAATGTTTTACCAAGATTAGACAAACAGTAGCTGATGGAGGAATCATAGTTGATACAAAAAAGATTATGGTAAGAAAACATACATGTATGAGAATGTTATTGCAATTATAAACAAGAGGCTCTCAAGAGCCTGAATCGCTCACCTGTATTTCAGAGAAGATTTTTAAATGTTAGCAAACTTGATGAACAAATTGTGTAAAATTGTCTTTAAAGGGCAATACATTTGTAACTCCTTAAGGGGTCAATTGACAATTATGGTCTTATTAACTTTTTTGTAGATCTTACTTTGCTGAACATTATTGCTGTTTACAGTTTATATCTATTTATAATAATATTCAAGATAACAAAAAACTGCAAAATTTCCTTAAAACTACCAATTTAGTGGCAGCAACCCAACAATGGGTTGTTCGATTCGTCTGAAAATTTCAGGGCTGATAGATCTTGACCAATTGAACAATTTAACCCAATATCAGATTTGCTCTAAAAGCTTTAGTTTTTAAGATATAAGCCAAAAACTGCATTTGACCCCTATGTTCTATTTTTAGCCATGGTGGCCGTGTTTGTCGATGGATCAAAACTTCCGATACAATTTATAAACTAGATACACTAAGGAACATTTAGTTAAAGTTTGAAGGTATTTGGCCCAGTAGTTTCAGAGGAGAAGATTTTTGAAAAAGTTTACGACAACGACAGACGACAACGACAGACAACGGACGACGACGGACGCCAAGTGATGGCATAAGCTCACATGGGGCCCTTCGGGCACTGGTGAGCTAAAAAAAGAAGTGATTTGAACTGATTGCAAATGTGACAATGCTCCACAAGAGACTAGATGACATAAAAATTAACAACTATAGGTCACTGTATGGCCTTCAACAATGAACAAAGCCGCATAGTCAGCTATCAAAAGCCCAGAAATCACAAATGTTAAACTATTTAGAATGCGTAAATATATGTACAAAACAATGAACGAAAAACAAATATGGTATACAGCAACAAACAACAACCTCTTTGAGGTTAAATTCGTTTGAAGGCGACAACCCTCATCTAACCTGGGACAGTAGTGTAACAGTACAACATAAGAAATCAGTCATGTGTCAGTTGAGGCTTAACTCATCAGATTGACACAAAGCATAAGTACATCTAACAAAATCATAGATCGGATGTGGCCGGGTTCTTATACATCCCCACATAGTTTATTTACAGGGGCAATTGAAAGGTATTTTGAACATTTTAAACTGATTGTAAAATGTACAGAGACACATTTAGTGGGAAAGGGTGGAGGTTAGGGAATCATGAGACGACCAGTGGTAAAATTTTTAACCATTACCAAAAAAGTGATAATCATGTAATGTCAAAAATATTACAGTAAATTCTAAAATTATTTGAGATGTTTTTATTATTGCGAAAAATGCGACAGGGTTATAATCGCACTAATTTATACTCGCATTTTGAAATTTACTATATGAATTAAACAGGATTTTTCTGAATATTGCAAAAGTTAAATTCGCATTTCAGTCTAAAATTACATTACAAAATCGCAGTTATTAATGCACAAAATAATTTCTGAATTTATTGTACTGGGTATAGCTTTGTATTAGTTTTATCAGGGAATTGTATTCAATCAAGGACCTCATTTTAGAATTTCCTAATAAACATTTATAATTAGGTCATTATGACCTACATTTTAACTTAAGTGACACTAAATATATTCATGAAACATGTAGTATAGCTATGATATTTGAACAGTGGATAGGTTTTGGGTAGAGCAATAGGGTAAATGATAAAAATTAGGTCACCTTGACCTACATTTTCCACATGAGTGACATGGTTAAGTTTTTATACGACCGCAAAAAAATTTTGTGGTCGTATATTGGTATGACATCGTCGTCGTCGTTCGAAGACACATTGGCTTTCACACTCTAACTTTAGTTTAAGTGAATGGATCTCTATGAAATTTTACCATAAGGTTCAATACCACAAAAGAAAGGTTGGGATTGATTTTGGGGGTTATGGTACCAACAGTTAAGGAATTAGGGGCCAAAAAGGGGCAAACATAAGCATGTTTTTAACTTCCAGACATTACTTGTGTGTTAGTGTATGGATCTCTCTGACATTGTACCACAAGGTTCCATATTACAAAGGGAATGCTGGGATTGATTTTGGGGGTAATTGCCTCCAAATTTTAGGAATAAGGGGCCAAAAAGGGGCCAAAAATAAGCATTTTTCTAGTTTCCAGACAATAACTTTTGTTCAAGTGTATGGATCTCTCTAAAATTGTACTGCAAGGCACCATACCACAAAGGAAAGGCAGGGATTGATTTTGGGGGTAATTGCCTTAAAATTTTTAGAAATTAGGGGCCAAAAAGGGGCAACAAAACAAGCATTTTTCTAGTTTCAGGACAATAACTTGTGTGTAAATGTATGGATCTTTATGAAATTGTACTACAAGATTCTATATCACAAAGGGAAAGCTGGGTTTGAGTTTGGGGGTAATTGCCTTAAACGTTTAGGAATTTGGGGCCAAAAAGGGGCAAAGAAACAAGCATTTTTCTAGTTTCCAGACAATAACTAGTGTTCAAGTGTATGGATCTCTCTGAAATTGTACTGCAAGGTACCATACCACAAAGGGAAGGCTGGGATTGAGTTTGGGGGTGATGAATCATAAGGGGTTCAAAAAATTTGGGGGTTTTTTTTCTTCTTTTTTTTCTTTAAAATTTTCCATTTTAAATTGGTTATTACTGATTTATATATAACAGCACATAATAATTATATGGTTTGAATAGGTAAATTAAAAATTTTTAAGTTCTTAGACCATGTAGACCACATTCATTCTGTGTCAGAAGCCTATGCTGTGTAAAATTTTTAATCACAATCCAAATTCAGTGCTGTATCAAGCTTGAATGTTGTGTCCATACTTGCCCCAACTGTTCAGGGTTCAACCTCTTCGGTCGTATCAAGCTGCGCCCAGCGGAGCATTTTATTTGCGTTAAGGTCAATATCTCGGGTACAAAATTGTATAGCTTTGACACTTAACATTGCTTAACCAGTGTATTGATTTTGGACAGTCCAACATGATTCACTTTCATAAAGGTAATGTTCACCTACATTTTCCACTTGAGCAACTTTGTTAATTAGGGCCCCGCCGAATGGCGGCCGCCCTATAGGGATCAGTCTGTCCGTCCGTCCATCCGTCCGTAACAAATCGTGTCCGCTCTATATCTAGAGAACCGTTATGATTTCAAAGTTTATACTTGACATGTATATTAACCAACACCAGAGGGTGTGTCATAATGTATGTTCAACTTACTAGGTCAAAGGTCAAGGTCAAAAACTTTGGTTTTAGTTGACAACCCCATGTCCTATTGTAAAGATTGTGTCCACTCTATATCTTGAGAACCATTATGATTTCAAAGTTTATACTTGATACGTATATTAACCAACACCAGAGGGTGTGTCATAATGTATGTACAACTTCCTAGGTCAAAGGTCAAGGTCAAAAACTTTGGTTTTAGTTGACAACTCCATGTCCTATGGTAAAGATCGTGTCCGCTCTATATCTTGAGAACCGTTATGAGTTCAAAGTTTATACTTGATATGTATATAAACCAACACCAGAGGGTGTTTCATAGTTTATGTACAACTTCCTAGGTCAAAAGTCAAGGTCAAAAACTTTGGTTTTAGTTGACAACCCCATGTCCTATGGTAAAGATCGTGTCCGCTCTATATCTTGGGAACCGTTATGAGTTCAAAGTTTATACTTGATATGTATATAAACCAACACCAGAGGGTGTGTCATAATTTATGTACAACTTCCTAGGTCAAAGGTCAAGGTCAAAAACTTTGGTTTCATTTGACAACCCCATGTCCAATGATAAAGATACAAATTTTTTACCACACATTATTCACAGCGGGGCCCACAGAGATTGCTCCCATCTCAATGATATCTAGTTTTGTGTGTTTAGGTCTCTCTGTAAGATAATAGACATGGTATTACATTGATACTTGACTATAGCTAGTGGATAGATATCTTGGGTAGTACAACATGGTTACTATTGATAAGGTCACTTTGGCCTACAATTTTTGCATGAATGGTTTGGTTAAGTTTTTGCATTAAGACATTGAGGTTTTATCAGATATACTAGATGTGGTAATGCAATGATTTTACTCCACCAGTTGAGATATCTAATAATTTTTTTTTCATTGGGTCCCAACCAAATAGATTTCATAGTTATCTCATATATCATGGACATTGTATATTTGAGAATTCATTTATCTTTAATATAATAAGGGATATATTATTTTTTTAAAGTACGTTTTAAGATTTTTTTTTTTTTATCTTTTTAGATGGAGATGAAAGCCAAATTAAAGATGCTCAGGTTCTCATAGTATATTCACAGCATCAATTAATTTTTCATAATATTTAGCATCAGATTGGGAAACAGATAACATTTCTGACCAGGAGAGGATTGCATTTCCTTTGAAATGGAAAGTATCCACCATTTAGGAACCAATTGAATCTGGCATGGGATGATGTATCAAAAAGTACAATGGCTTTTTCTACAAAATTATCATCAGAAATTATTGATTTGATTTTGAATTATATTGTACCTGCACAATACAAGTCGATAAAGTGTTCTGATTTGTAGTAGAAAAATGGAAAACAGACGAAACACAGTCAATTGTACAAAAGGATGTTTTGAATGAAGCTCTTATTGATGCATACTTACTAACTTAGACCTAAATAGTCATCCGACCTGGCTTCAGATCTTATCACTGTTTGCATGTATTCAGACCGTTTTGCATGTTTCTCTTTATGGCAGACTTCGCTAATATTATATGACAGTAAAATTATAAGCAAACACCCTGAATAATTATATAACCATTTTAATGAAAATGTCTGCACCACAGTTGAACCATTTATCTGTATATTTGTTTTTATTCATGTAGGTATAAAATAAATTTTATTTCCATTTGAAATATTTTTGTTTGTTGTAGTATTATCATGATTATAGGCTAACTACATCTTACATGTCTTATTCACATGCCTCAAGTTATTGGAGATTACATTCTATGAGGAAACTTAACATTGTTGTTATGTGGACTGTTATCCCAGAAGCTACATAGGGATCACTATCTGTCATTCATGTCAGCGTTACAAAATATAAGTAACACTTTTCTCAGCATCTGCTTGATATTTGACAAAAAGCTTATAAAGATTAATTCCAATATAAAAAAAATGGACCCCCTTTTCTAGGTAAGAAGCACCCAGTCTCAATTTTTATATGTTTATGTAATATCATCAAATACAACATGTATTTAAATATCAAGACTGAACAAAAAGTGGCCATATCCATTTTAGACAACAAACGTCTAAAATTAGCACAAATGCTAAAATTGTGAAGATTTCAGAAATTTTACATAAATTAATGATGATAGTACCTGTTGAATGTTCATAGTATTGTAAAAAAAAAAAGCCCATTAAAAATGATTTTAAAGTAACTGAAGTATTCTACTTTTGAAAAGTGACTTCAATAAGTAGCGATAAGTTGATACATGTATTTTAAACAAAATGAAAAATGCTAAATTTTGGGGCTTAAAAGGGGTCTTTCCAGGCCTCTTTCTGTAGTATATTTTCAATTAAAACTAAGTTAAACTGAGTTTAATCAAACAAGATAAGCAATAAACATTATATCTGCCATTATTTTCTTATATTTTAACTATCACATACATTTGTAAAGTTTCTCTTGTAACCAATAAAAAATTCATAAATACGGCAAAATTGCCATCTTGTCCATCTTAAATTGTTATTTCATCGTAAGAAGGTATCATTTGCCGAGCACCATTTTTTTGCATTTTGTAGATAAGTATATAAGCTTCATGCTGTATTACATTTTTTGAAAAACAAAACATGATCTTACAAGATTCAGGTCTTTAAAAAAGACAAATTTTGCTGAATCAGCACTTTTTCAAAACCATGCAATATCAACCTGCCAGTAGGGGTATTGAGAAATGTCAAAACTTGGAAAACTATCCTAATTTTCTTTCATTTTAAGTTGTTTGTTAAGTTATTAGTTATCATTATGCTGCAACTTTTCTATAATAATACAAAAAACCAGGTCAAAATACCCTAAAATAGGCTTAAAATGGCCTTTTGTCAGTACAGAAATGGACAATTATCGAATGTTATGCACACACAAATAATGGCTGAATATTTTTTCAAAATATTTTGCACAAATAGTTATTACATATAAGGTATCAAAAATGCAAAATATCAGTCTGATTGGATAATTTTGGATTCGGACCATTTTGCATGATTTTACCACAGACTTGCTCTTAACAATATACAACCTGTTACTATAAGTACTTGTCAGGTGCAATCAAAGAAGTATTTAATTATTGAAATGTGTTTTATTTTGTGATGCAGCATTTCATTACCTATTTGGTTATACTGGGTTGTAATGTTAATACAAATAAAATTGACAATGGAAATGGGGAATATGTCAAAGAGACAACAAAAGCATGTTCCAATAAAATACTCAAAAAAATTCTTCATAAAGCCATTAATCATTTTTTACTAAGTCTTGGGGTACACTATTCTAAATAAAACAACTCAAATATTAACATTTTTTTTATTATAAGGGTTTAACTGTTTTATTTCAAGTGCCATGGGCCTGGTGACCTGAGGCAATCTTTTAAAGGTTAGCTTGGGACCTAAGAGGGGTACCCAATTTGAGCCCCTATTTTTGGTAGGTCAACAATGTTAACTTGACTATCCAACTAAGTATTTTCAGGGCAGTCATCTTGAATTTAGTTTCAAATGTTATTTCCTTGGAAATAAGTTATTTAAATATCTAATTATATTTAAAATGTGTGTATAATAAATATGCCATAATTATAAACTTATCTTATTGTTTGAGAAGTGGACAATGATAACTTGTAAAATAGTATGTTTAATTCAGTGAAAGATTAATACACTGGATATTACTGAAAATCAACCAGTAGATCTATTATACTTTTTTGTGAAATATTAGAAATTAGAATCAAAATATCCTACACTAGAAAAAATTAATCTGTTTAAAAAAAGGAATTTAGAACATTATCTCTCAAAAATAAGCACTGTCACCTATACTTTGCTATTTAGATTTTGAATAAATATACATTCAGCTTTTTTTTGCATGAAAATTCTAATGCACATAACTTTCTATGTATCTACCTTAATAAAAGGACTGGTTCACATCTGAATTTCTATACATGATAATTGTTCTATACACTGATACAAGAAACACTTTAGTGAACATATGATACGATTCTTGTAAAAAAAGCGAGATCTGATTTGAATGGCCCATCGTGTATGCACAATTATCAAGAAAAGGTATTGGTTTATAAAATAATTACTGACGAAAGTTACAACTTCTTATTTTTCAGTAAAATAGTACATAAAAAGTATAATAAGAAGCACCAAAAATACAGGTCAGTACAACAGACCAAATCATCTACCAACACTCAACTCTTCAGAAAAACATTAAGACATACAAACAATGAAATAAGTTTCCATTTGGTCATTTAATTAGTAATAAATATTCTGAACTATAATGGTTTCAACAAATCATTTTGTATAAGTAGGTTTATTCAAAAAGTATTTATTGGATAAAATAAATACTGGTCGTTTGAATATGAACCATATGTTACAAATTCATTGTACCGCTAAATGTATTAGATGATTTTTAATCACATAATGTACATTTTCAATGAAAACATTTAGACGGAGATTTAGTATTAAACACAAAATGGTCGTATAATCATGTATACAATTCCTTATAAATAAAGAAAATCAATCAGCAATGGCAGTTGTATATATTTAGAAAGTATTCCACATAATCATAATCAGTTGGAAAGCACTTTTTTTCTCTTTAAATCATGACATGCATTCAAAACAATACATTTGTACAATTCTTTTTCAATATTTCAGACTCCAATTAAGTAGTTTAACAGAACAAACAACACATAAAATAAATCAAATCATTTAATATTTCATAAAGTGAAGTGTAGAAGGATTCAGACAAAAATTGTTTCACTGTACATTAAATTGTGAATTCAAAAACGAAATTAGATATTGAAAAATGATTATATACCAAATGCTGGCATAATAAACACAACTTTATGTTGTGCTGTTACACCAGTGTCCCAGGTTAGGCATAGGGTTGGGTGCCCGTAAACTTGTCAACCCCACCACATTCTGTATGTGCCTGTCCCAAGTCAGGAGCCTGTAATTCAGTGGTTGTCTTTTGTTGCTATACATCATTCATTGTTTTGTTGAACATAAATCAGGCAGTTAGTTTTCTCATTGAAATTGTTTTACATTTGTCATTTTGGGGCCTTTTATAGCTAACTATATATGGGGTATTGGTTTTGCTTATTGTTAAAGACTGTAAGGTGACCTATAGTTGTTAACTTCTATGTCATTTGGTCTCTGGTGGAGAGTTGTCTCATTGGCAATCATATCACATCTTCTTATTTTTATATTTAGAAGTCAGGAAAGCATACCAATTTTTATATTTTAAAATTGCATTATTTATAATTTCATTACTCTTATCTTCAAGATACACATTCTTTACTGGCCAATGAACAACTGTTAATGTACTAATTAGTAAAACTACATTTATAACATGGGAAAATTACATATAACCTTATCTAAATAGATCATTACTACATGGCAGCTTGAGATGTGTGAAAGGCATATACAATTGAAAAATTACAACAAATATTTAGATTACAAATAGCATACTTTGAATACACATAATTAATTTGATTTTTTTATTCCTTTTTTTACAGTTAAATCCTCTTTTTATTTGTGTACTGATAATTCTGATGTTTCAGATGAGCAACTCTAATAACTAAGTCTAACTAAAACAGAACTAACAACTTTCAAGAAACTTAGTAAACATATATACGCAATATGTAAGTATTGTGTCATTGCAGAGAATTTATAGTTGTTCAAAATAGTTTAAAGTAAAGTCAACCACCGGTGCTATTAACAGATAGATGCTTTCCAAAAACAAAAACTGTGTGACCATGGAAGTAATTAGTATTAAATTCATTTTACTTCCATGGTGTGCATCCAACTCAGATAAATTTAATTTTCCAGCAGTTTATGACACTGCATTTTACTGCCATCAATGTGAAATTTCCAGTATCCGATCTGACAAACTATGACAATTCAATCTGAAAATTTTAGAACCAAACTTTAAATTTATATAATATAAGCCCATCAGCCTTGCATAAACTTAACAATGTTATTCTTTGTGCACCAACACTACGTCACTGTACGTGAGATCATCCTTATATGCTTTTGTTGTATCACAGAGAACACTTATTCTACAACACAAATGAGTAAAAGGGCTTAATCTTAGCACTGTGATGCAAGGTTAAACTATTCCAACAGAAAAAAAAAAAAGGCTTTTGAAATTTTGGCACTTTTTAATCAAATCATAATTGTTGACATTACTTATAATACCATACACTTCATTCCAAAATTCTGTCTTAACATACTGTAATTTTCATACATAATTGTTTTAAACATACACCTATTTCTTACTTTGCAAGCAAAAGTAAATATTGTATTTACAATTAAAAAGTAATATTGCACTCGCATCATATCATTAAAATCTTGCCTAAGCCATCCTTCCATACGTATACATATTCACAATCTTCACAAACAATTTTTCATACTTCATGGATAATATGTGAACAAGTGCTATCCTAATAATAACTTCAGTCCTATCACTAATATGTTGATTCCAATGAGAGGTACTGAAATAGAGACAGAAATGCATGCTTACTAAACGATAATATTACACCGAACTACTCTTACATCTACATGTACATGTATAACATTTTAATTTTACATCCTAGATAAGTCAAGAGTTGTCTTATCCAATTTCCTCCTATTTTTTTTATTTTTACATTGGATTTTACAATAAATAGCCCAAAGTGTGGTAGCCTGGGCTACTAAGCCTCTTCTAATCTTTTCCCCTGAATTTCTTTATAAATTTGGTAACTTTTGAAAATTCTCAAGCTAACCTATATGTAATAATGAGGCAGGAGTTACATATACATTTGTACCTGTGAAAGAAGAGGAAGTCTGTGTTATTTTTAAGATACATTTTGGTAATCAAATATATACAAATCTGTGGGAAATCATATACTTTACAATATGGTAGCCTCATTCAGCAGCGTAAATGTGCAAGCGCAATGGTTGTTTAAATTTTTTTAATGACTTTGGATTCATCAGTATATTGATTTTTCTTTTTATAGATTTCTAGCTGTAATGAGGACTTCACCCTCTATTAATCAAACATACTTCTCATAACTGTTCTTATAGATCGAATCAAATTCAATATCTGTGTTTTCATTCCAGGATCTTCACCAAAGCCTCTTTGATCTGTACCCCAACCAACTGAAAGAAAAACAAAATATCTACTGTAACATTAAATTTCAGAATAAGAAACTGGTTTTTTTCATCAGATATGAAACATATCCATCAGATGTAAAAGTGGTTAAATAACATGACAGTTAAAATGTACATTTGTATTTGCCATAGACGAAAAAGTTTACAACTTTTCTGAAAGTTGTTCAACCTGTGAACCACAAAACTACAAATGTATGTCTGTGTTAAGAATTTGATTTGCCACAAACATTATTGAGCTCCAAAATAATTTAACTCTAATATAAGTGTTGTGTTTATTGTTCAATGACTTTAATTGAGGATGGTAAGTTCAGTCAGGGCCTAGGGGTAAATTAATACTAATACAAGTCATATTTTTCTTGAAGATGTAATATTTACTCTTATAAGTAAATTTGTAAGATTTTAATTTTCTTTTCCTGCTTTGAATAATCTCCCCAAACTTTGAATTATTGAATGAGAGGTCATAATCTATACAGCAGAACTTGAAGGTAAAGGATAACGCTTGCTTCTCTTCATTCTTTTTGAGAAGCTCCAATAGGGTTTTAGGGCTCCTTTTATCAAATTTTGGGTTATGGTTCATTTATGGTTATGGCTAGTCTAGGGTTTGTTCTATGTTAAATAGTTTTAGGGCTAGATATGAGCAAGGATGTATATACATGTACATGTAGTATATTCACTATATAAATCCTTCATATGCACTAGGGTGAAAAGGTAGTTTAGTATAGCTCTATATCATATGTTGGGACCCCTAAACTAAAGAGAAACAGCCCTAGTGGGTTCCCAATAGGAATGCCGAGGGTTTGTTGCAAAACGCGTCATCCAAAAGTAACAAATTTGATTAAAACTCCTGAACATACATACACTGTATATAAATTATTAAATATGTTGGTTGGAAACTGATATTGAGATAATTTTTCTCCACTATAAATCAACAGCCAGATTCAAATTCATAAGACACCTACTTTTAGCAAGAAAACGTTCTTCGTGTAAAATGCACACTGCATTTAAACACAATATAACAGCTTCGATTAATGAGTATAGACCAAATGCCATTTCGGAGCTTGTGTGTTGTTGGCAATTTTTTATTCAATGTCAAATTATATCACTAATGAAATTTATTATTTTGCTTATTCTCAAACGTTCCAGTGACTTCGTGTTATTTTCTAAAGTATTACCAAATTCGAACTTAGCGAAATGATTCCGGATAATAATTTTCAGAGCAATATTTGACTGATATTTTTTTCAGAGACAATTAAGTGCCTGTGTCGTATTTGCAGAGAATAATTTCTCATTTAGATTTTACATGCGATATGATCAGTAATTGTGCATTATTGTATTTAAGGGGGTGACATGCTTTTGGAATGTGGGAGATAGGGGTCAAACAAGTGGAAATGTGGGAGATAGGCGATTAAATAAGTTGGATCTGGAAAAAAAGGAAAAAAGAGGAAAGTGTGAAAAAAAAAAAAAAAAAAAAAACGGGATTTGGGAAATGAGCATCTTCCTCTTTATATGTCAGTACACTATAAGATAAGATAGATAAGATATTTTATTTTCCAACAACAGGTACCACTGAAGGGGCGATGCTCTAGGATTGTGAGCTTATAAGAGCTCTAACAAACCTCCTCGTATCTGATGCAGAGAAACAAACACAAATCAAGGATTTGTATAGTGATACAAATCCTTGCACAAATGTAACAAAAGTTCAAGTTTATTCACAGCAAATAACATTTACTGAACTTCTGAATAAGTCTGTTTAAAGGTTTGGTTAGCTTTTGAGGTGAATGACGACATTTTTGTGCTTTGTATAGAATATTACCATAAAAGATTGGATGTGAAATACCTGACCGTATAAAATGTCTGCATGTTGATTTATATTTACGAATGATGTCCTTGTACCGATGATAAAATTTAGTAAATGTTTTGACTAGTTTGTGATATCGAAAACCCTGGTGTAATAATTTTTCAGTAATACAGAGATTTCTTTCGTTAAAATCAAATACGTTGTTACATACACGAGCGAATCGAACAAGCTGAGATATATAAACACCACAAGATGGTGACAAGGGAACGGCACCATCTAAACATGGATAATTAACAATAGGAAATGAAAAATCATCTCTTTATCGTAAATTTTGGTATTAAGCTTCCTGTTAAAGATATAGATATCAAGATCCAGGAAAGGGCAGTGTTCATTGTTAGTATTTGCTTTATTTAAAGTCAGTTCAGCAGGATAAATATCTTTAGTGTACTGAAGTCGTCATTATTGAGAGCCAATATATCATCCAAATATCTAAAAGTGTTATTTCGATGGGTCTTTGCTGATTTTAGTCATGAATTGTAACGCATAACAATACAGAAACAGGTCCGCAATAAGTGGTGCACAGTTAGTCCTCATTGGATTTCCAAAAAATGACCTGAAAAGTTTGAACATATATATTCGCATTCTGACTTTTTAAATGCCCATTTAATTAGGTGTGTGATTTTTTCTTAATGAGATTATGAGGCAAAGTGATATATAGGGTAGAAAAATCAAAACTTTGAACAGATTCGAAATCACCAGTATAAGCATGCAATTTATCAAGTTATTCCAACGAATTTTTTACACTCCAAAAGTTATTAATTCCATTATTTTCAAAGGCCTTATTTGAACAATTTATTACCAGGTTTTTGATTGTACCAAGTGACTAGTACTTTAGTGTATGAACTGACTCTCTATGAGGCGCCGTTTTACTATTTATTCCTTATTTTCTGATATCAAAAAATATTTCTTGATATCAAAAAATTGAATTCCTGATATCAAAAAATGATTTTTGATATCAGGAAATATTTCTTGATATCAACAAATATTTCTTGATATCAGGAATTCAATTTTTTGATATCAAAAATTGCCTTTTTTGATATCAAGAATTCGATTTCTTGATATCAGAAAATAATCGTTATTTCTTGATATCAGAAATTAGATTTTTTGATATCAAGAAATCCATTTTCTGATATCAAAAAATAGATTTTCTGATATCAAATATTACTGACGATATTTTGATATTAAGAAATACATTTTCTGATATCAAAAATTCGAATTCCTGATATCAAAAAATGATTTTTTGATATCAGAAAATAGCAAAAATATCAACGATTGCTCCCTGTGTGTCAATAAAAGCATCAACGTTCACGAATGAGCCCTTTTGTATTTTTTGTGTTTCACATATTTATTATTTTAAGGTTTATAGTCAACAATTGTAATTTCTCGCTTCTTTTATAAGAAATCATTGGTTTCCTATGAAACAGATTTGTGCAGTCAGGTTTTTGCAAATATCAAGCCCCAGTGTTTTGTTCATCTTGTTTTTATATTTTTTCCCCGTTGTTTATGTTGAGGATTTAGTAAGTAAGTTAGTTCTGTTAAGTTTGAAAATAAGGAGATGTGGTATGATAGCCCATGAGACAACTAGCCACCAAAGTTCAAATGAAGTTGATGTAAGCAATTATAAGGAACCGTACGCCCTTCAACAATGAGAAATCCCCATACCATATAGTCGCCTATAAAAGGCCCCAATATGAAAAAGAAATAAACAACTCAATTTAGAAAGCTAAAGGCCTATATGATTTATAACAAAACAATTTACGTCAAACAAATATGGCAGACGTCATTCGTAAATATAAATCAACAAGCAGACTTCGTAACGTTCAGTTATTTCACATCCAATATTTTATGGAAATATTCTTTACAAAGCACAAAAATGTCGGCATTTACCTCAAAATCTAACCAAACCTTTAAACAGACTTATTCGGAAAGGATATACCGGTAGTTACGATACTGTTGTCAATTAGTCATTAATGATTGCATATTTTGGTATTAATATTGATTCACTCATAGGGTCTTTGCATCGGAAATAAACACATTTATTCTAAAACCAGTTGTTGGCATGATACGGTTTATGTTCTTCTCATATATTTTATGATGGTATGATACTAAACTCCTAACGGGAGGGATTGTACTTGATTTTCTTATGATGAAGACATAATCTTTCAATCAGTTTAATTGAGGTCTGGAGCTGGCATGTCAGTAACTGCTAGTAGTCCTTTGTTAATTTATGTATCATTGTCATTTTGCTTAGTTTCTTTTGTTACCTATTCTGACATCGGACTCGGACTTCTTTTAAACTGAGTTTTACTGTGTGTATTGCTATGTTTTTCTTTATTCTACATTGGCTAGAGGTATAGGGGGAGGGTTGAGATCTCACAAAACAAGTCTAATCCCGCAACATTACAACATAGTGTAAGAACAAACGTGGCAGGGTAACAACAACAAAAAGACGCAAATTACAGATGTGATAGTGACAACTAGTTCAAAGCCAACAACAACATAAAAAAAAATGCATGTCTTGTATTTTCAAAAGATTTGTCTATTTCGTCTTTTTACGAGACTGCTAGTATTTCTTATGAACCGCGTCTTCCATAAACCTTTTAAATGCATATGAGCTTTTTCTGTGAAGTAATGAAACGTTTTAGTAGGTTGGATGTACGTTTTCATCTCTAAAATACCTTCATTTTGGAAAAGTTTGTCTTTATATTGAAAGGATTGTCAAGAAATTATCACATCATTTTGAGAAAAGTGGTAAGTACAATTTAGTAGGGTATATATTTCGACTCTTCAAAATTCAAGAGTCTATCCTAAATTGAGGTAAATTATATGGTCTTCCAAATACCGTTTCGATTCCTAACATCACTGAAGAGACATTAATTGTCGAAATCCGGATATGGTGTACAAATTTTTGCACCTCATGTTTGCGGTATACCATCTTTTCCGCAAGTTTATTGTTTTCTGTTTGGTATTAAATTAATAATATAGATCAATTTTGTTACATCTTGTGATCCGTTTATTTGGCAATCGCCAATGGCAGTCAGCAGGGTTTAAGAACATCCGTTGTTCGACCTGTTAGTCAAATGCGTTTTGTTAAAATATACTTTTTCACTTTTTTGATCTTTTGGAAAATGTTGTTTGTGCTGTATTTAGACCCCTCTACCAAGAAATTTGTTTTGCATGCACCCGTATACAAATTGCGATTTTTATCCAACGCAATCATAGGTTTGAACGTTGTTTTCAATTTAGACTTGTTTATGCATTGTATTAGATATATAAGGTGAAAAGATCGTGTATATCGCCAGTTGAACCTGAATATATTATCGAGCAATCGTATCTAAATCTTGAAAACATTTTCCAGTATGTAGTAAATTCTTAGGTCGACATATCCCGCCAATTCGGATTGTACGACACAAGAGAGTACATATGTTTTATTTAGGAATAATTTAAAAAAAATCTTCCATATATTGTCTTTAAGTGCATGTGTCCTGAATTTCGTAATAAGTTTGATCAAACTGAAGATAAGTGTAAATATTTTTTTCAAATATTGTTGTTAAATAGCAGTTTTCCGGAGACTTTGAAGTCTTGTTCATGTTTATAGAGCTTGAAGTGTATAAGCATTTTGTTTTTGTAACAAGGGACACAATGTCATCAATATAATGACCAATACAGTGTATAGTGGTACTCCACACTATAAAACAATTGGTCTACCGAAAACATTATTTCAGATATTTGCTGATGGTTGGCCTCATTGGTGAGCCTGAATGTTTCAAATGACACACAGGGAGCCATCATTCTTTTATTTCTTATTTTCTGATTTCAAAAAATCATTTTTTTATATCAGGAATTCGAATTCTTGATATCACAAAATCATTTTTTGATATCACAAAATCTATTTCTTGATATCAAAAAATCAAAAATATTTTCTGATATCAAAAATTCGAATTTCTGATATCAAAAAATCTATTTCCTGATATCAAAAAATGAATTTTTGATATCAGGAATTCGAATTTTTGATATCAGAAAATATTCTTTATTTCTTGATATCAAGAAATCGATTTTCTGATATCAAAAAATAGAATTTTTGATATCAGAAAATAATTTTTTGATATCAGAAAATAGGTAATAAATAGTAAAACGGCGCCTCATAACTCTCCCCCTTTTATTATTGGACAATTATTGTTTATTATATGTATTAATAATCATAATTATATTGTATTGTCTGTATCTTTAACTTTAATGAGCCCTATGATGATCTATGATTAGGAAAATAAAATATTAGTATTATTATATCAATTTTATCGTTTCCCTCCCTTTACTGTGTGGTATCTTTTGTGATTTGGCAGGGGACAGTGATACAACATGATAATTTTATAATTCTCGACAATGGCTCTTGAACTTGACCTCTTAAACGAGGAATACAGTTCAATCGGAAATGATATTCCAAGTTTACAATTGTCAAATAAACTGAGTCGCTCAATATGTAGCGAAAATCTGCCATCCAGTGTCAATAATTGGTCAACAAAACATGCAGAGTTTCTCAATATTTATTATGAAAAGGAATATGTTAATGATCCATTAGATGTTATGGGAAGAATACCAACACTGCAACCGTTCAGTAGAGAGCAAAATCATTTTACAGACAGCTTAAAGTCATCCTTGCAGTTTAATGCATCATACAAAAACTTTGACGAAACCTACAATTTTCACACAATAGAAAATGGTTTAAAGAAAGAGTTGGTGGATACCATTTGTAAACTGAATAAAAATCCTGAACAGGATAGGTATAAACCAATATCACTTGCAAAAAGGAGAAAGACATCCAGCTCCTATACACTTTAAACCTAATGTGGCTGTAGTGTACAAGGGAGCTTAGCCATTTGATTTTTATGGGGGGGGGGGGGGGGGTCTAGGATGAAAAATTTTGTCCTGCATTTTTTTTTAGTTGTAATCTCTGTCCTGCCTTTTTATTTTTCACAATATTGGTCCTGCCTTATCCTGACTTTTTTTACATAAATTGTCATCTTGCCTTTTTTTTTGCAAAGTTTCTCATCCTGCCTCTTTTTTTACTTGAAACCCCTGTCCTGCCTTTTTTTCAAATTTCATCCTAGCCCCCCCATAAAAATCAAAAAATCAAATGATAGCTCTGTAAATCTAGAAAATATTGAGAGGTTTTTAATAATGTGAATAATGCAACTGGTTGAGAATCGCAATAATAAGAACTCGCCTTCTGATATTTGATATACTATAATTGTATGCATATTTTCCTGAGATCACAATAATTAATCTGGCAATCTAGTTCTGTTTTCAAAATTTGCAATAGTTTCTGAATTTACAGTAAGCAGATTCTTGGCAATAGGAAGCACTCTTTTTTTACTCGAAACTCCTGTCCTACCTTTTTTTCAAATTTCATCCTAGCCCCCCCTCCCCCCCCCCCCAATAAAAATCAAATGATAGCTCCCTAACTATGAATTAAGGCCACCCTTAAAAAAATCTTTGTATGATGTTGCCTACCCATGTTTGGTAGGATTGGGTAGACAGCACAAGTTACATGTTTTAGACAAGAAAATGAAGATGGAGCAGGGAATAATCTTTTAAAAAAAATTAAAACGATTTGTGTCATAAAATATTTCGGGTAGGCTGCTTTTAGGTGGGTTAATTAGGTAGGCAACAATAAAAATCCTCTTTGCCCCCCCCCCCCCCCATCTTTGTACAAAAAGTTGTATGAACCTACTGTTCAAGGACAAAATGCCTTCAGAAATTCAGTTTTTTAAAAATAATTTTGAACAGAAATTCTTTGGGGTTATATTTATTTAACAAGATTAAGGGTTACCAAAAGTTAGGATTAGCACCATAAACTTAAAAAATTCTAACAGTAACAGGAAATTAATGAAAATGATTGGAGCTAAACTGCTTACTTCTAACAGCTTACCTAAAAGAAATGGTGTTGTAGCAAATTTGCCATTAAAGTCTCATTGTTTCATCCAATTACCCATTAAATGTCCAATAAATTTCCATTTTTTGTTTGTAATTTGTTTAAACCATTTCCTGTCTTGCCATTTATTCACCATTTATTAAAAATATGGCTTCTATTGTGATTTTTTTTTAAATGGTTAAATAATGCATGCCTACAATTCATTTACAGCAACATTCAATAACACAGCTCTGTTTACAATGACTATTAATTTTCAAAAACTTAATAATCATGATAATATGTTAAAAATTTGGTTCATTCGTAATTGCAGGAGGCTTTCTTACATCTGATCCTACTGATGATAAAATTCATATTTTTTTCCTGTGTATATAAATCATAAAATTGAGAATGGAAATAGGGAATGTGTCAAAGAGACAACAACCCGACCAAAGAGCAGAAAACAGCCCAAGGCCACCAATGGGTCTTCAACACATTGAGAAAATCCTGCACCCGGAGGCAGGCTTCAGCTGGCCCCTAAACAGAAATGTGTACTAGTTAAGCGAAAATGGACGTCACACTAAACTCCGAAACATATAAATGAACTAAAATTAAAAAAAAAAACAACATACAAGACTAACAAAGGCCAGAGGCTCCTGACTTGGGACAGGCGCATAAACATGCATTGTGAGTTCTCAACCCTCCCCCTATACCTCTAGCCAATGTAGAATAAACATAAACACAGCAATATGCACAGTAAAACTCAGTTTAAAAGAAATCTGAGTCTGATGTCAGAATAGGTAACAGAAGAAACTAAGCAATATGACAATGATAGATAAACAAGCATTCTGAGAGTATTGCATGGCAATACATAGTCCCCTACCGGGTAAAAATTCATTTTACTGGAACAAAATGCTAACTTGTTCTATAACTTGTCATGGTGTAAACAAAAAGTAAATATCATGTCAGGGTCAATATCTTCAAGCATGACTAAAAACAATGTGGAAAACTGATTATATGAGTGAAAAAAACATTAGATATGATTAATAGTTCTCTAAAATTAGATATGATGTAATACAGTGTATATCTATTTTCAAATTATAATCAAATATAATTAATAGTTCCAAATATTTTTTCTTTCATTTGTCACAAACTAATATAGATTTGTAACTTATCTATAAAATGTCAACAACTTTAATCTACACAATGTAATGTATTGAAATATATACATTAATAAAAATAGATTATTATCTAATTAAAGGATTTCTCTTCATAATTTATTTTTATATATATAGCATTCAGAAAATTAGTTTATACTAAATAACAAACAAACAAAAAATTCTTCAAATAATTTAACAAAGAATGTCTTTTAAAAAATGAGTTATCTCCCTTTGTACAGAAATATGGTTTAACATGGTACTCTAACATTAGATATGGTCCAGAGTTATGGTCCATAACGCTGGACTAAATCATCAGACTGGAACAAAATTCGAACTTGATCTATAACTTGTCATGATAAAACTATATACCAAATATCAAATCAATATCTTCAAGAACGAAGAAAAAAGTGTGGAAAGCTGATTTGCTCGACTGACGGATGGACAGACGGACAGATGGACAGACGGACGGAGTGCAAACCTAAAGTCCCCTTCGACTTCGTCGGTAGGGGACTAATTAACAAAGGACTACTAGCAGTTACTGACATGCCAGCTCCAGACTTCAATTAAACTGATTGATAGATTATGTCTTCATCATACGAAAATCAAGCACAATCCCTCCCGTTAGGGGTTTAGTATCATACCATCATAACATACATGAGAAGAACACAACCCGTATCATGCCAACAACTGGTTTTAGAATAAATATGTATATATACTCAACAGATTTATATTTTTAGATTTATCAAATTCAAGGTGTCCAGATTCTTGAAATGTCTACACAGATTTATGAACAATATGGAATCACTACGGATGAATTATGAGGAGTACAAAGGAAACTTTAAACATCTTCTTGGTAGTTTTGTGGAAATGTGTGGTCTGGAAGTTTTGTAAGTTCAAACTTAGATTACATTGATTAGTAAAAAGTTGATTTTAGATGGATTTGACTTTTATATTTAGGTCCCTGTTGGTCGTTTAGGTCTTTACCTGACTCACTTGCTCCAGTCTGCACCAAAATGTTTTCCATCTACTAGTCTGAGTACCAATATTCCGACATTTTTCTTATGTGTCCAAACAAAGTTTTGCAAATACTTACTTGTCCAAATAAATTTTTACTATTCTGGGGCATCGGAATAGTGGCTAACGGTGCACACTGCGGCTCAGGTTTTCAAATTTTTGGCTTTGAGTATTCCTGATGAAGATAAAACAAGAAAAGCACTTCAGTCACAATGAAAATTTATAAAGTGTTATTTTCATATTTATTAAATGATATTCTTTTTGATACATGTATATCATTTGTGTATATATGACTATGATAAGTTAGTGACATTTATTTTACTATTAATCAGAAATTAGAAATGATTACCATTTTTATACGACCGCAAAAAAATTTTGTGGTCATATATTGGTATCACGTCGTCGTTGTCGTCGTCGTCCGAAGACAGTTGGTTTCCGGACAATAATTTTAGTATAAGTAAATAGAAATCTATGAAATTTAAACACAAGGTTTATAACCACAAAAGAAAGGTTGGGATTAATTTTGGGGGTCATGCTCCTAACAGTTTAGGAATGAGGGGCCAAAAGAGGCCCAAAAAGGCATTTTTCTAGTTTCCAGACAATAACTTGTGTTAAAGTGTATGGATCTCTCTGAAATTATACCACAAGTTTCCATACCACAAAGGGATGGTTAGGATTGGACCTCTGCGGTCGTATCCAGCTGCGCCCAGCGAAGCAATTTATTATTTTAATGCATAAATGATTAATTATAAATTATAAATAACAATAAATAGAAATAAGCATTACAGACTCTGAGTGCATGAAAGCTAAACTTATTACATAAAGAATGAAAAGTATCTAATTGATTTTTGTATAAATATTTATAACTTTTTTAAAAGTCCACACAGTTTTTTTTTATCTCCCTTACAATTGAAAATAGATTTATTAAAAGGAATAAGAGTGGATAGATCTCATCATGCTCATACTAAAATTAGGATTAAGATTATTTTTTGCATATTTTTTTACAAAATGAAGTACAAAAGTCTTTGGCTCTTTATTCTATGACACATTTATGTGAAACCTCAACATAAAGATTTAACAACTCTATCATGTCTATGAAACTTCACAATCCAAATTATGATATATTTATACCTAAATTTATGAGTTAAAAAACCTTAAGAGAATATACATGTACAGACCATAATAAGAGCAGATGAGATTTTCCAGGTTATCTGTCTGAAAAAGAAGCACTAAAAATTACTGCCATGTGTTCATGCTACATTCAATCAAGGTTTCATTGACATTACAATATTACATTAGCAACGTTTTTTGCAATGGCCTAACCATAGATGTAAGAAATACAAATCTAATATGTGAGGAAAAAATTTATAATTTACATGTAGGTTGTATTTTAGGGAATGCTCAGATACCTGTCAGTCTGTCTGGAGAAATTTGCAAAGGACGAAGGCAGTAGTATCAAAACCAGACTTTCGGTTGTACAAATCAGGACTAGAAGATTTCTTATTACTGGATGATGAAGTGGTAGTACCTGTTACTGAGGTAGATATACCAGTTAAACTGGAGGGGGTCTGTAGGGGGGGAAGTCAGGACTAGAAGATTTCTTATTACTTGATGAGGAAGTGGTAGTACCTGTTACTGAGGTAGATATACCAGTTAAACTGGAGGGGGTCTGAGGGGGGGGACAAATCAGGACTAGAAGATTTCTTATTACTGTATGATGAAGTGGTAGTACCTGTTACTGAGGTAGATATACCAGTAAAACTGGAGGGGGTCTGAGGGGGGACAAATCAGGTCTAGAAGATTTCTTATTACTTGATGAGGAAGTGGTAGTACCTGTTACTGAGGTAGATATACCAGTTAAACTGGAGGGGGTCTGAAGGGGGGACAAATCAGGACTAGAAGATTTCTTATTACTGTATGATGAAGTGGAAGTACCTGTTACTGAGGTAGATATACCAGTTAAACTGGAGGGGGTCTGAGGGGGGACAAATCAGGACTAGGAGATTTCTTATTACTTGATGAGGAAGTGGTAATACCTGTTACTGAGGTAGATATACCAGTAAAACTGGAGGGGGTCTGAGGGGGGACAAATCAGGACTAGAAGATTTTTTATTACTTGATGAGGAAGTGGTAGTACCTGTTACTGAGGTAGATATACCAGTTAATCTGGAGGGGGTCTGAGGAGGGGGGGACAAATCAGGACTAGGAGATTTCTTATTACTTGATGAGGAAGTGGTAGTACATGTTACTGAAGTAGATATACCAGTTAAACTGGAGGGGGTCTGAGGAGGGGGGACAAATCAGGACTAGGAGATTTCTTATTACTTGATGAGGAAGTGGTAGTACCTGTTACTGAGGTAGATATACCAGTTAAACTGGAGGGGGTCTGAGGGGGGACAAATCAGGACTAGAAGATTTTTTATTACTTGATGAGGAAGTGGTAGTACCTGTTACTGAGGTAGATATACCAGTAAAACTGGAGGGGGTCTGAGTGGGGACAAATCAGGACTAGACAATTTCATATTACTGGATGATGAAGTGTTAATACCTGTTACTAAGATAAAGTGTATTTTAGTAATACGGGAAGGGTTGATTAGGGAGTCAGGAATGAGCAACACCATGTGTTTCATGTCAAGAATAAAGACTCATCAGATTTTACTTGTCATGAATAACACAATGTTGACCTCATTCTTAAGTTTTCTATGTAACTTTTTCATAATTTTATGGTTTTCCTAACCCCATGATTGTCTCTATTCAACTTGCAAAACTTTATTTTTAGTTTTGGAAAACTTGTTTACTCAAAAAAGCTTCAATATGCTTATAGTGCTTGAAAAAAGTGGATTTAAGTTACAGATTAAAACCCTTTTTTTTGTTTTTCTATTGAACATTTTAGGTAAAACAAAGTCATGAGCCATTACAAAGTAGATCAAAAGAAATGAATTCAACTACCAACCCAGCATGTTCAGATAACCAGGCGAAATCTCAGATAGAGTTAGACTTCAATGAAGACATCCTAGGTCAACATGCAGGCACACTTTTGTTGGATCTAGATAGATATTGCTTGAAGAAAACAGTGTATATTGATGAAGATTATGTGATGAGAATACCAGGGATCATGTTTAAAGGGACACAGGTAATTGAACTGACACATTCAAAGGGGATTGTAGAGGCGGGTAGTGGGGGTATCATCTCAAATTCCTAAAAAAATAAACTCTTAATCCTGAATTTTCCGAAAAAATAATCATTCTTTCCTTGATCATGAAAAATAAACCTTTATTTCACAAATCCCGTTAAGTGCAAATCTTGAACTCCCGCAAAAATAAAGGCTAAATCCAGATGTTTTGAAAAGGACCTTCCGTCGCTCACTGTAGGTTTGCTTTACATCTGTAAGTCAGTCTATTGCGAGTTTTCTTTAATGCAAAATCGCTTCAGATATATGCCGTTTATATCTTTTATATGAAAGTACAACTTGGTAGTTGCAGCTCAAATTGCTGAGTTTTTGGTTGCTTCAGGGCTTTTTCAGAGTTATCTCCCATTGATCTAGAAACTAAATGGAATTGTTAAATCTCTTTTACACTTTGTTCCATTGTGAGTTTCTTTATATAAGTTGAAGTTATAAGTCCTGCATGGCCACTGCCAAAGATTTATACTTTATTTGCAAGTTCAATTGTTACAATTTTTATTAAGCCTTTTGCAGTAAGAAATATATTGAATGAATGTAGCTTTCAGTAAACTTAATGCATATGTAAATAGAAGATCTCATTATGCAGTATATCAATTAGGTTTTGAAAATTGGGTTAGGGCTATGTAAGGATATGAAATTTTGACCCACAAGGAAAATGATGATATGCTGGGTGGGATAAACAGTTTTCTTTTCAACTTTGGAACCCTCTGAAGAGTTGTTAAAGGGTAGATGTGACATTTTTGAACTTTAGGATGTAGGAAAAATTGTAGTTTCGTGGATATGGTTTTACCAAAGTCTGCATATAAACCTGTAACAAATTGTTCTTACTTAGACATTTCAGTTCGTAATTCATGTATACCCACATCACAAATCCATGAAAATTGGTATCGCACGAATAATAATGAAACCACAGTATGTAAAATTAAAATTGAGAATGGAAATGGGGAATGTGTCAAAGAGACAACAACCTGACCAAAGAGCAGAAAACAGCCGAAGGCCACCAATGGGTCTTCAACACAGCGAGAAAATCCTGCACCCAGAGGAGGGCTTCAGCTGGCCCCTAAACAAAAATGTGTACTAGTTCAATGAAAATGGATGTCACACTAAACTCCAAACCATATAAATGAACTAAAATTAAAAAACATACAAGACTAACAAAGGCCAAAGGCTCCTGACTTGGGACAGGCGCAAGGATAGGCTACCTGTTAAAAATACTGTATTGTATTTTGGCAGTTAATGTTACTAAAAGAAACTTTTAAGAGTATTGATCATTCACCATTCATGAAATGCTCTCTACTTTTTATTTTCAGGTTTTATTTACATTGCTTGAAATGAATAGATCACATCACAGAAAGCTGAGATATAGTGAAGACCTAGATGATGAAAAAGACATGGCTAAAATTTATTACTCCAGACCATTAGACATCTTGGTGGAAAAAGATCGATGTACACTAATAGAAAGTTTCATGAGATTAAACAACATATAGTGACACTTGTTTAAAGTAACTGACAATGTTGACAATTAAAAACATTTGGTTAAGACCATCACATGTAAACAGGAAGAGGGAATCTTGGGCATGTGTGTGTAATAAAGGTTCATAGAATCGTTATATTATGTGAAGGTCAGTTAACTATAATCCCTCCATCGTTAAAGGAATTATGGAATAGATGGAGATGCTTCAATAACTATTGACATTTTTTGTTAATCTCTTTATGTAGATGAAACAAATATATGACTTTCTATAGATAAATATACTTTGACATTTCATTGCATTATACAATAACATGTAACTATAAATTGTGAGAGATTTTTGATACATGTATAAAGAATTATTGTATATACATGTATAAACTATGTTAAATGGTGCAAGAAAAAAATTAGTTACTATTGAATAGAAATCTCTTCAAAAAGTTCACATATAGATCTTAGAATTATAATACATTTCCCTAAGAATAGCTTTGATTGGTGGATTGCTGTTAAAAGTCCAGTGGCAAATATTACATGCATATTCAGGACGAGAACATGTAAATGTGATATGAGAATAAACTCTGCTTTGTACTAGACAGAATTGCTGAACCAGATTTTTAAGATGCTAGTTCACAAGGTAACAGTCCACAATGAAAACATTTTACCCTGGCCAAAGATCAAACCCACAACCTCCCTGTGTAGGGGAAAACATGCTACAATGAGATCATCGAGGTGGTTCTCAAGAATAGATACATGAATTAAAGGATATATCTATCATACTAAATGAAAACATGCTGATATTTCAGGAAATATGTGGCTCAAACTGAAAGGGATATACAGGGTAGTCATGATTGTGCAGGTTGTTTTCACATTAGCATATCTACTTTTAAAAGCAAACAATTTCTTTGCGTGTTTTTGTAAATGTATTTTGTTTGCACTTTTGAATTTAAATTCTGTCAGGGTAAGAATTTTCAAGTATGTTTTGACGTCACAGATATTAATTCCTACTTGGTACTTACATGTAGATGCAAAGACATATTAATTGTGTATGAGCTTTGTGTAGTATGGAAATTTCAGCCTTGCAGGTTTTTTTTTCTGTGAGTCCAGTTGGTTCATGCATTACTTATAAAAAGTTAAATAAACAATTTTCTTTTTAAGATCAAAATAAACATCTGGTTGATTTTTAAGGCAATTGCTTTTTGCCTTTATGCTATGATGAGACTGCCATATTTGTGACCTAGATTCTTGCCAAACTGGTCAAAGTAGATTCTTCAACTGCTATGATAAATTTTCAATGTTTTTAAGTTTAATATACTTAGAACAAGTTCAATTAAAGACAATGGTGGACTGGTGAAGTTTCAAAACAACATTACGTTAAAGGTGTATTTTGCATTTTTATGTTTTCTGATTGACTTGTATAAATGCCATAGAAATATGAGTGAAAAAGTGTGTTTTCATCATTGTAATTTCTTTACATTTTTATGCCTTATGTTTTTCGGTCTTTGTGTCCCTTCGTTCGTTCATTCGTTCATCAGTTCCTCCTCCTGTCCCGCTTCAGGTTAAAGTTTTTGGTCAAGGTAGTTGTTGATGAAGTTGAAGTCCAATCAACTTGAAACTTAGTACACATGTTCCCTGTGATGTGATCTTTCTAATTTTAATGCCAAATTAGAGTTGACCCCAATTCACGGTCCACTGAACATAGAAAATGATAGTGCGAGTGGGGCATCCATGTACTATGGACACATTCTTGTTCATTATAATATCAAATTATGTCAGTTGTTGATTTAATATTGAAAATTTGAATGAACAATCCCAAATATCAGTATTTAGTTAGTAACATATCTGTTTATCCAAACATTTAGTAAACAATAATGATAATCCTTAATCATGGCCTTCACATGTTTTGTTGTAAAATTGCATAACTGCATACAAAGCACATGCAACATTTCAAAGCAACATATACAAAAAAAACCTCATAGAGCACACAGGCATATAAGCATGAAATATTAATACAGATGAAGCACATGCAATATAAAGAGCAGATCAGCATATTCACATAAAACACATACAAGCAGTAAAACATGAGATATCAAAACAAACCATGCATGGCCATAAATGATTAAAATAAAGCACTAGTAGAAGCTGTTAGGAATTTTAGTCTAATCCTGGAAGGGTATACAGTGACTTATAGCTGCTTACAACCACATTAATTGGTCTCTGGTGAATATTTGTCTCATTGGCAATCATACTGGCGTTGGACAAAATTTCCAGAGTTACTTGACTTTAACCGTCAGTTTTATGGCAAGTTTCACATATCTTGCACTTACTCCAGTATGTCTGATTTGATGGTTTGCCCACATTTAATTATAATAATTATCTATTAGTAAAGAAAACAAAGAAGACACAAGGTTTAATGAGCATACAATTGTATAGTCTATTACAACTTTATAGCAATATAGTTTATTTGTGTTTTCTATATATTCAGGTGTTTTTCATTTTGTAGTTCCATTTTTATTTGTATAGATAAATAATAAATAAAAGGTTTTTTTTCTCAATAATTTAATATCAATTCAATCGATTCATTTAACATACAACTAATGATAAAACAAATGGCATTCATTTATAACAGTGTCTTAATAATTCATCAGTTTCTAAATGATTATGATATAAATACACCAATATATGATAAAGTTTTCTTTCATAGCAAACATAATTTATATAATTTATGTATCAAATTTTTACATGCATTGCATAAGGAAATAAATATAGCACTATGGTAAATATAAGTAATATGGGGCACTATATGTATAATGAGGAAAAATACAACATTTTATATATATTTCAAAAGTCTCAAAACATTGTATTTACAAAGTCACAAAACATTATATTCACAAAGTCACAAATTACAATATTTCACAAAGTCATTCAGTTCAAATGAAGAAGATGGGATGCTGCGTCAGAGTAGTCTATCAAGTTGATGAGTCTTTGTTGCTATCTGTCTGTCAGTAGTTGGAGTCTGGTGTCTATTAACTCTGTTTCGTCATCTTTTTGGTGGGCAGGCTCCTGCTGCATGCTGGATAATGGTACATTCTGTTAGTGCCTGGGTCTTCTTGAGCAACTTGATGACTTCGTAGATGTTGGGATGGGCATGTTGGAGTCTCTTCTTAATTTTTTTGTGCCATCCTTCCAGGTGGTTGGTGGTGCATGGTTCCTTCGGTGAAGTAATGGTTCCATAAAAAGCGGACAGAAGAAAATGTTAGCATGGTAGCAGATTATTGTTCAAATTATGTCATTTGTAAAGCTTGCCTACTGAACAAATTTTGTATCTAACAACATAAAAGTTTTTTTTTTAAATCTATGTATAAGAAATTAGAGATTTAATGATTTTAAGACAAATTTAAGAAGGTTGTTCGCCGATTTTATGCGCTTTCTATACAAATGTTCACTTATTTTGAAAGAATTCAATCAGTAATATTTCAGATGATAAAAGAGATAAATATATTTAATAATAGTACGGAAGCACATGTATATGTTTTGGTAAAACACGTGTGTTTGTTTACATCAACACATGTTTTTAGAATACCTGTAATGTTTACAATGTATTCCATTGGATGAAACTCGTCGCATTGCGAATTTAAAACAGGTATTCTATGTATCGTATGATTTTGGCTCGTGTTTCTCGTGCTTGCTGTTTGATATAAATTAAATGTAATTTATAATGTTATTATTCGAAGTTCTGCCTTACGCTGAGTAGCATACGCCGTACTACTGCCTTGCCTGTATTAACCATGACAGACCACCGTTCCGAAGACGAAGACGAATTACTACTACACGAGTCTACAACTCCTGTAGTACTTAACAGAGAAGCTGCATTTCCTAGTTTGCCTATACCAGTACCGTCGACAGCAACCCAGCAAACAGCGCCACAGCAACAAATAAGTGACAGCACTTTTCAACTGTTTACGTCGTACTTCGATTCTAAAATATCTGCATTGAAGAACGAGTTAGTGTCGGGCAACGACTCCTTAGCCACCAAGTTGAAAAAGGAAGCGTCCGTGAAACTAAAGAGTGAAGGTAATCAAATCCAATTTTCTTTCAATTCCGAAGTCCTTGCTGACCTACATAAGCTGCAAAAACGTTTTTCGAAGGAAGATTTTGTTTCTATAAATTTAATTTCTGGACTTAGTCTTAAAGTTGAACAAAAGAAATAAGCTAATCAGAATAGCCGATAAATCTCCTGCTGGTTGGACCACAGTTCGCGAGTACGAGAGTGACGAAATAGCATCAGATTCAGATGACGAGAAAAGACTCCGACAAGCTGAAAGCAGAGCTCTCAAAACCATCAAGGAGAAGAAAAGTCGTACTAAACCTTACGCTAAGCCTTCAGCTACTGTTTCCAGACCTCCTACTAATACTGCAGATATGCCTCTTCAACAGTACAACCAGCCGCCCTTTCGGAGGAACAGTCGCCGAGAGGCGACTTCCTATGACATGTGTTATGAATGCCACCAATTTGGACACTGGAGGACAAACTGTCCCAATAGAAGCAGCAAGCAATTTACACCAAGGAACAACCCAGCAACATAAGATAAAAGATAAGTTTCTTAATTTAGTAGATGAATATTTGACGCATGGGCACATGAATATACTTTTCGAACATGTTAAGTATTTTGATAAAGTTGATTTTTCCAAATTCGCCAAAGGCGTCAAAAGTAGTTTATCTAAAAATGTAGCTTTTTGGGAGCACATTGGAGCAAGCAAATTTATAATTAATACTATAAAATCAGGTTATATGATTCCTTTTGTGAGTTTACCACCTCCTATGAAATTCCGCAATAATAAATCTGCAGTTGATAATACTGATTTTGTAAACGAAGCTGTTCTCGAACTTTCGAAAAACGGATGCGTACACGAAGTACCATTCCAGCCTTTTGTAGTAAATCCATTAAGTGTTGCCATTCAAAAGTCCGGGAAAAAGAGATTGATATTAGATCTATCTGAATTGAATTTATACGTTTTGAAAAATAAAATAAAATTCGAAGATTGGAAAGTTGCTCAACAATTTTTTAAGAAAGATCTATACCTAATTAAATTTGATTTAAAATCTGGATATTTTCATTTAGACATCTGCAAAGAGCAACATACATATTTAGGGTTCTCTTGGAACGGAAAGTTTTATTGCTTTTCAGTTTTAGCTTTTGGTTTGAGTTCAGCGCCTTACATTTTTACAAAATGTTTACGACCTATGGTTAAATACTGGCGTGAAAACGGTGTAGATATAGT